CCTGAAAGTCTGGATGGCTTTACCCTACACCAAGGTCTGCATTTCTGTCTGCTTGTTCAACTTCAGTATCAGTTAGTATTCCTAAATGCATAATAAGTGTGGGTACCATTTGGAATGTTACTCTGTCTTTCTATCTACCTATCTATCTATCTCTCTATCTTTGTTTTTGTAAGAGGTTTATTACTAATGTGATGTGGTGTTATGTCATGCGTTCTCTTCACCAGTCTGATCCGTCCAGTGTTCCTCAGCTGACTTGGCAGTTTGTTGCTGTTCAGAAGACAGTGAACCCGATCCTTGCTTTTTGCAAAGGAGACACAGTCCACTTCCTCCTGGTATCTACTCAACTCTCTCTTACTCCAAAATAACAAAGAACAAGAACAAAAATAACAAGAACTTTTTTTAGGGGTCAGAATCTTTTTATTTTAACTGAGAATTTTTTCATGAAGTTCCTGAGCTCATCAGTCTGATGGCTTGTGGATAGAAACAGTCTCTGAACCTGCTAGATCTGGCACTGATGTTTGTGTTATTTCCTTGATAGTATTAGTGAGAAGAGGCTGTGGCTGGGTGGATAGGGCCCTTGATGATTTTTCCAGGATTTCCCATGCTCCTCTGGATGTAGAGGTCCTACATGAATAGAATATTCCAACCTGGCAATGTGTTGAGCAGCTTTGCTGACGTTTTGCAGGCATTAATGGTCCTGCCTAGAGCTGTTCCCATTCCAGGCTTTGAGGCAGCCAGAGAGGACGCGCTCAGTGGTGCATCTGTAGAACTTGCAGAGTACCTTCTTGTCCATAACAAACCCCCTCAGTCTCCTGAGGAAGAAAATGCACTGGTTTGCAGTCCTCAACAATGACTCAAAATTGGTTGTCCAGTTCAGAATCAGAATGAGCTTTGTTGGCCAAGTACGTTAAACCCACTGTACTCTGCATTAAAGTCAAATTCCTCGAATGTTTAACGTACTTGGCCAACAAAGCTCATTCTGATTCAGGTCTTTACTGATATGGACCTTGAAGAATTAAAAATTATTGAATCTCTCCACAGCTGTAGCTGGGGCTGCATGTAGGAATCAGTTTTGATAGCCGGTTCTATTTTGGATCTGGTTTCAAGTTGGCAAAATATCTGGGTTCATGAAGCTTCATGGCCAAATAAATCTCCTACTGAACCTGTCATTCACGTTCTGTTTAGTTTACTCTCTTTGGTATTTCTGATAATACAGATACTGCCAAAAGCAAAAAACATATATAAACTGTTGATAAGTTAGCATCATATGCATAACATGTTGATATGTGTTATGTATCAGTAAAGTAAAAAAGAAAAACTTGTCAAAAAATATGGTGGGCCCGCTCAATGCTCTGAAGACTGCAAAACAGCTGCAAAAAGTGATATTCCCAAAAAAATGTGGAAGAACACATTTAATGTTTCACTATTTATCTTGTGTCCAACATGTTAAAGTTAGGACTTGTGATCTATTTGATAACGTGAAAAGGATGAGTGCTCGGTCTCAGCCTGCCCCTGGTGTTAGTCTGTGGCCGGGGTGGCCATTCCAGTCCTCAAGGGCCGCTGTCCTGCTTGTTTTCCAACTACCTCTGCCCTACCCACTGCTGATTGCCTGGATCTGGTGTGTTCAGTCAATCAGAAGCTGGAAGATACCATCTTAGACAAAGGTGGAGTGAAGAAACATAAAGTGAATTGGTATCTTCTATGTACCAATGTTTACACACAGAGGATATTGCTTTATGTATCTATCTTTGTATGCTTTTGGAGAATGGTCTCTTCTCTTTCAGTCTACGTTTGTAGGTGGGGAAAAGCTGGATTACATGTTCTGATTTGCTGAATGGTGGCTGGGGGAGGCTTTGTATGCTTCTTGATACAGAGTGTAAACATAATCCATCTTGGATGTGCTGTGCATTCCACAACTGATGTGTTGGTGGTAGTGTGGCAAAACCAGATGTGCATGGTTGAACTCTCCAGTCATAAGAAATGCAGTCTCTGGATGCTGAGTCTTCTGCTCACTGGTGGCTAACTGCAGTTTGCACACCATCACACCTCCCCTTTTGCTTTTCCTCCAGTCCTGCCAGTAGATGGAGTATCCCTCTGGCGTGACAGTACGGTCTAGCCAGGTCTTTAACGGCCATCATGTTGCAATTCATGCTTTCATGCTGGATTGGATAAAGAATAAGGATAAGCTTTGCTTGATTATAAACAATATTATTTCCCAGTATTACTGACAGTACTGTACAGTCCTACAGTTACCTCAGAATACTGACACATTAAGAACCTCTGCACTTGTTTCAGAGTTTTGGAAATGTACTGAACTGTCTTTAACCAGTTAGTTACACTAGGCGGGTGCTGTGCCAATGCATACCACCATTAGTAGTGTACGGTGTAATATTTCCCAGATGTCTGCATGGGAAACTACTTCAACAGTGTATTTGGCCAAGTATGTTGCACACAAGGAATTTGAGAGAAATGAACAGTGGGCACAGCAGTTTGTAATGTCCTCCTCTGCAGGTAAAGAAGGAGGAGACGGGGACCATCCATGTCATCAAACAAAGACAACTCCACCTCAGCTGTGACATTATTAGCCTGAGCGTAAGTACCTAACTCAAGACACCAGGCTATTGTCTATGCACTCCATTACACACTTAACCAACTTTGATTTAATTTCCATCAGAAATATTTTAATAATGTATAATTGGGGAGCAAACAACAAACACCCCAGTTCATTATGCTACAGTAAGAAGTATCAGATTTACACTCTGCTATCCAGCCTGTGAATGGCCAGTCCTTAGGCTTAGGCTTTAGGGTAAATTTTCACCTAGGCCACTTGCACATCCAAGAGAAAATTGCTTTGCACAAATCAACCGTTTGTGAAAATACCAAAATAGCAAAATGAACACCCAGCACCTGAAAACAATTGAGCTGGTTGGATGATGAGGCAGGTTTTTGACAGGAGCGTAAGCCTGAAGCTTACGTACTTGTAACAGGTGCTGAAGTACAGGTTGGATGCATTTTGCAGCCAGCTGAATTTGCAAGGGAAGCTGCATGGACATTGTTAGGTAAACATTTGTCTTGTTCAAGATTTAAATGAGTTTGCCTCTGTTTTCTTTGCCTTAGTGCCTACCAGGTAGGGTTTGTTTTTTTAAACCACAGATATGATTTAACTTGTACATAACTTATGTGTAACTAAAAACAAATATCTTTGCTTGCTATTTTGCAAACTGCATGACTTGTTTTGTCTCTGTCTTTGTCTTTCTGCAGTGGATTAACAGTCACACACTGGTCTTGGTAGACAGCCATGAAAAGCTGCAGGTTGTGGATCGGCCCAGTCAGGAGGTTTTGGAGACTCTGGACTTAGAGCAAGTGCAATTGGTCTATAACAGCCGACATTTCAAATCACTGGCCACTGGAGGGAATGTCTCCCAGGCTCTGGTGAGGTCAACCTTCACATTTGTTGGGCCATTTTTAAGATAAACGTTCTTTAATGGTCTTTAAGTAAATATTAATAATGAATTGGATTTGACCGGTAAAAGATTATTGATCTCTCTCAGTCTCTGTCTCTCTCTCACTGCGTTTCGCTCGCTCTTACATAAACCAGCGTGGAAGCCAACAGCAAAGCCAAGCTGTGCTCAAACAAGCATTGTCAATGAAAGTCTGAGTTTTTGGTGTTTAGGGTTTTGGCCCTTGGGTCAGGGGCACACTTCTCATATGCAACAGAAGTGCTTCACCTAAACCAACATTTGAGGAGAAGACCAAACTAAGCAACAAACACCAGTGTAAGCTAAAAGCCTTAGAAAAGCAAAACTTTTGAGGGTAGAATGGAGTGTGGCAGCTCTCTTTCAAACAGTCATTGTGAAACAAACAAAATAAAAACACTCAATCGATAGTTGTACTTTAGTTTTTGGTGTTGTAATGAAAGAAGAGAGAGATCTTGCTTTCTGTGTCAGTGGCATTGCATGAGCATGCCCTTCTAATTAGGATGATTGTATATTCCTTCTTGAGGTAGCTAGGAAGCATCTTTCTGTGTGGCAGCCTGCCACTGCTCTTCATAGGTATTTTCTTTATGTGTCTTGAAAATTAGGCAGTAGTGGGACTTGGTAACATCTCCTCTACAGGTTATATCCAGCAATGCAGTTGGGCATGATATTAACAAGGCAGAGTAACTGGTGATGAATAACAAAGGTGCTTTTCAAAGTTCATTCTGGGAATCAAAAATGACCCTGAGGTTTCTGGAAGCAACGTCTGAGTTAGAAGCCAGCCAACCTTAGTCTGTTGCAGCCTATTTAGTTATATGGTACTTGGTATATGAACTTGCGATTTAATTGCAGAAAAAATGAGATACCCCAGAACTAATCTTCTTGATACAATTTTGCAAAATGGCCAGAAAGTTTGACAGGTTTCACAGATACACATACACACTCAGGTCGGCATCTTTAGCTCATGCTTGCACCTCAAATGACAAACATGTAAATCTGCACATTTTCTGCATTCTATTGATTCTAGAGCCAACCCTGGAATTCTCAAAAAATGTACTGATATTAAAGAAATCATATTTTGGTTCTTTGTTATAAGTTTTCCCACTTATAGAATTTTAGAAAAGCTGTAACAGCAGATTTTCACTTCTTCAAGTCTGCCTTCAAGCCACACTTACTCCTGACAGGTGTAGGTTGGAAGCCATTATTCCTGTACTTCATTCTGACATTTAGTTTGAAGGTAATATGAGACATTATTAGTCTGAGTTAGCTAGTGACAATGCACTTTATGGTAATTTTTTACTGGGCCCCTGTATGTGTGTAACAGCATGTCTATGTTCCAGGCTTTAGTCGGAGAAAAGGCCTGCTACCAGTCAGTCTCGAGCTACGGAGGACAGATAGTCTATTTGGGCACCAAGGTACTGTTTTGTATTGCTTGTTTAATTTTGTTCTTTGTGTATACATAGTAGTAGTAATAATAACTAGAGAATTTTAAAGTTCTGAAGAAATTTTATCTGTGTGAACACAGAGCGCTGCTGCAGCCTCCCCTCATGCTCCCTGGCTGCGCACTATCGTCCCAGTACAAGTTTTGTCCATGATGAAATAAGACCCAATGAAGTGTTCAAAATGATTTTTTGAACACTTATAGGTCCAAGACTCTTGTATAATTGAGAGATAGAAAGACTGATCTAAATGGCACAATGGCAATGTGATTGATAATGAAAGAGTAGCAGCATGAACTGAAACAGTCAAAATTGCAGCATCAAATTTAATCAGCTGTCGTTCAAAAACTATACAGTGGGGAAAAGAATTATTTGATCCTATGCTGATTTGTAATTTGATTGTAGGTTTGCCCACTACTACTGCAAGGACAGTAAGAAGCATAAAGAAATATCAGACAAAATAATGGAATTCATATGCCTAGATCATCAGCCGCTGTCTATTGTGGAAGACGAATTGTTAGGGTTTTTTTGGCAGAACAATAAAAGCCACTCTTTTGCTCTCGCACAAGCAGCACAAACCTACCTCTCTGCCCCATGCACAAGTGTTGATAGTGAGCGACTTTTTAGCACAGCAGGAAATATCGTGGATGAGAAGCGCAACAAGCTGTCAGCCAAAAATGCAGAGATGCTTATATTTATAAAGAAAAATCTGCCCTTGATGCAAGAAGTAAGATACTAATCTACATTCTCCACATCACTGTTGCTCTCTCTACCTCTCTACATGCCCACAAAATCTGACCGAGCTTCTGAGAAAAAAGTAACTATTCCAGAATTTATTATTGATTCATGATGTAGAAGCCATCATGATAGTGCAGCTGTGGTTCTGTTAGTTAACTGCCTTTCTTCTTGACATCCCAAGAGATGTGAACTTGCAATGGCTTGTTAGTCCTGCCCTGAGAATTGAGTTAAA